CCCGCTCCCTGCGTTATAGTTGGCACACATTTATAGCCCGCTCCCCGCTCGCCCTCCGACACCGTTTCTTTCTTCCCAAAAGTAGGTGACCAATTATCACAACGTGTGCCGCAGACGGAAATGCTTGTCCTGATTCGGTGTGAATTTTTTCTTGGAAAGATCATGCTCGTACACCTAATCTGCCGTGCTAAGGAAGATCGCCGTATGAACATTCGAGAGTTGCCAAATTTGCCGGATGCAAAATGTATTTTTGACGAAATCTATGCTTATTTTTCCTTGAAATTTTCAGATATTTTAGATTAAATTGCGAATAAAATAGTCTGAAAAATTGGAAGAAAAATATTTACAATTTCCCCAATAAATTCGTATTTTATCAGAGGAAATTAGGCAACGCCTGAAGGTCCATACGGCGTTTTTCCTTAGCACGGCAGTAATGCCCCCCGATGGAGACGTTAATATACCTGGTATACTGATCGTGTTTAGCATTTGATGGTCTTGTGGGGATCAACAAAAGGGATCATCGAACTAGGTATGATCTTGTGGGGATCAACAAAAGGGATCATCTAACTAGGTATGGTCTTGTGGGGATCAACAAAAGGGATCATTTAACTAGGTATGGTCTTGTGGGGGATCAACAAAAGGAATCATCTAACTAGGTATACGTGCGGAATCACAAAAACCGCTAAAAAGGTTTGAAATATCAATTTTTGGTCAGGAGCTTGGTTTGTTAGTTTCAACAGTGGCGAGGCGTGAAGGATTGATTATCGATATTTCTATAGTTGAAGCTGTGGTGAAGAATCGAGGAGTAAGATGTTCGTTACACTGCATAGGCATTTCTTCGGCACGGCCATATTTGGACCGCGTTAAACAGAAAGGAACCAAGCCACATCAGCTATCGCCTTTAATTGGGCAATTTAATATTTTACATGAAAACGGTTGTGCGGATTTTTGTGGAAATTTCAGTGGAAATTCTCCATGGTACGAGGCAAATTCCTTAAAATTTCCAAAGAAACCCGAACAAACGGTCCCTCGTAAAACATTTAATTGCCCAGTTAAACTTGGCAATATAGTTGATGTGGCATGGTTCCTTTCTGTTTAACGCGGTCCATTTGTGATCGCACACAGGCGCATTAAGTGTGTATCTTATATGCTTCTACTTCGATACCTTTGATGTGCGGAGCATGATTTTTAAAAGAACTATTCGCGTTTAAGATATGTAAACGAAGAACTGACGGCACTCTGTCCTTTTGGATCCTCACAGTACTGCCCGCCGCGCGCCGCTGCCCAAGGCCCAAAACGCCTTCACTCCCGCGCGTATGCAACACGGACATCCATAGAGCCCGAATAGTTGTATCTTGCATCCAGGCGTTATTATGAAATTCGTTCAGTATTCGTCGCATGCGATATTAACTTGGGGTTGAAAACACTTGGCTTGTTTCTTTTACACCTTAATTTGATTCCAGCATTGCCAGTTGCGCTGATGAAGTAAAGTATCACCGGTTTTTATCGACTGATTTTATCGCTGTAACAAATGGTGTGAACAATGGACATAAATGTTTGTTTTGACCTCAAAATTTGTTCTACAGCCTTATGAGCATGTAAATAGCCCGATTGACACATATGTTTTTAAAAAATTTCAGGCCTGTGTTCAGAGGACGAGGAAAGACTGGTTCGCGATTTGTTTCGCGGGTACAACAAGCTGATTCGACCGGTGCAGAACATCACTGAGAAGGTTGATGTCCGATTCGGGCTGGCTTTCGTTCAACTTATTAATGTGGTAAGAGCATTTGTAAGAATTTTTCATTCCGAGGTTATGTGTATCATAAGTTGAAAAGTCAAGACATTTCGAAATAAAAACGGAGTCTTACAAAATGATGAAGCGTGAATCGAACTCTTCTTGCGTTAAGAGTCAAAGATAACAAAAAATTAACAAAAATTTCAAGGACTGAGTTTCATGTCCAAGCTTCCTCCCAATTTGAATTTTTTGAAAAAAATTGTCTGCACTGCGATCTCGGTTCACAATAGATGTTACTCTTCAGCGACATGGTGCGATGCTCTGGTCAGTTTTCTGCACCTTTGCATGCTGTTTTTTTCTTTAAAATGCCAAAGAAATCGATGCCCTGCATAACGCATTTGAACAATCAAGATGACAAGAGAAAAATAAAACTGGAAGGTCTGACAGGAAAAAACGCGATATTCACCAAAATGTATAAATTGCAATTGCCAAGCTACTTGCAAACCTTTGTTTACAAATCTTTCACGCCAGTTTTATGTTTCGACTTTTCGAGATTGTATATTTTGGAGCATTCCACTAGGTACTTCATCTGTTGATTTATCTACTCACCAATTTTAATTCTATCCTGGCGTAACTCGCAAAACTTTATTTGGTCAATATTGCGAGAATCTATTTTAGAATATTTAGCTTTTTTTCTACTTTTGTGCACCACTCAATCATTTTAATTCCTTTTTTTCCAGAATGAGAAGAATCAAATTATGAAATCAAACGTCTGGTTGCGACTGGTGAGTAGAACTCATGGGACAACTTACATTATGTCATAATAAACTTAAATTTGAAAATGATTTTATTCGTTGACGTTTGTATGACGTTTTCTCTTTATAGTATCTTACATACCATTATGAGGAAAGAGAAAAAATAGATAATGGGGATTATAAATGCCTTCGTTAGACAAAGGTGGGGCAAAAATAAACCCTTAGTAGCAGCAGCCATAAGTACATCAATGTTTCTGAGACGAATAACAAATTCTACCACTTTTCATTCACATGTATAATTTAGACACAGAAAATAGGTTATCTTATAAATCGTGCCCGATTTCCCCGAAATAAGTTTACTTTTTCAGGTGAAAAATGCAAATATTTTCAAACTTATAGCCCCGTAGTATGCCCCTTTCTTCGGATAAATAGACTTCCACGCAGCGCCCCCCTAATAGATTCAGTTGAAAAAGCATTTTCATAATTATTTGAGTGTAACATCTATCGTTCAATTTCTTAATATTTTTCGTGATGATACCCTGGTAAAAATTGGCGATACGCGCTGCGTTTCAAAATACCATAGGAGTTTTTATAGCCGACTAAAGAAGGCTATTGAAAATCATATAGCTGGCTGTAGAAAGCGGAGCAAATCATATAGCCGGGCTATACGAAGCTATAAAAAAGTATACAGTCGGGCTATAGTTCCTATCGCCGGGCTTTACACTTTATCGCCATTGGCTATAAAAGGCTATAAGAAATTGTGTAGAAATTTGTGTGCTTTGGAAATCATTAAGTTTGATACGGAACTACCTTAATATTAACAAAACACACATTATATTTTCCTTTAAAACATATTTTTTTTTCATCAATTAAAATGAGATGGTCCATACAGAGTGTGCAAACATTTCAAAATCATGAGTTGAAAAACGCTGACTTCGCGCGATTAAATACATATATTAGAGCCTAACACAAAGCGGAGCGGCTACGCATTGGCGCCTACAAACCTAACAGGAATACTTCACGCATTCCGCGGCGACGCTCTGGCGCCTACAAACCTAACAGGGATACTTCACGCATTGCGCAATGCGTGACGTATCCCCTTAGGTTTGTAGGCGCCGGTGCGCGGGTGCGCGTTTCGCGCTGACAACATGCAGCTCCGCTTTGTGTCAGGCACTAATATTTAAACTAACTAAGTCCTAGTATCCGTATTTAGTAACGTTTAGCATAAACATTATTATCTGGCTATTGCTTAATCGCCATCGGCTATAAAAGGTTATAAGAAATTGTAAAGCCGGCTACAGAAGCTATTGGAAATCTTACAGCCGGCTTTAGGTCTATAGTATTTTGGAACACACATTCTACTGTCAATTTTTACCAGGGTACTTCCACCAATGTCAATTCAGACATCAATGCACATGAAACAGGGACGAAAAGAAAAATTATACAAAGAATGAGAGAAAGAAGAAAACGAAGAAATATAAGAAGGGAGGAAAAAGAAAAAGAGGAAATTCACATCGATGCAAAACTTAGAAAAGAACCTTTATTCAATTGAAAAGTCATTTCATATTCATTTAACCACATATTAACGGATTTTTACAGGTATGGAATGATTACCAACTTCGATGGGATGAAACAGATTACGGAGGGATAGGTGTTTTGCGATTACCACCGGATAAAGTGTGGAAACCTGATATTGTTCTTTTCAACAAGTGAGTTAAGCTCTATTTGACACCATTAAATCACCCTTTCTTCCAGCTTTTCGCGTGTGAGCTACAACCAGCGCTAAATCCTTGTTGCTCATGATGAGCCATTATTCTTTCCCTAATTCTTCACAATGCTAGTTGTATTGAATCAAGTATTCTCAATTGCACTTTCAGAGTGTTAAGAGCTGGAAGGCCAAAGGAAGCAGCGTAATGGTCGAGAAAGGTAGCTTTTTACAAGCGTTCTTTCATTATTTTCTTTGGGCCTTTTTTCATTGTAACAACGCCTTGCAAAACAGCTGCAGCGTGTCAGCTGGCTTTGAGATGAATAAAAAAAACAGAGCGCCTTCAATTTTTTGTTTATGCAATATGGACATCCGGAAAGCACGAATAGTTGCATTCAGGCGTTGTCATCAACGACGAGATGTCCCGATGCGTTCGTTGATCGAATATCAACTGAAAGTTGCGGTAGCTTGTTCTATCTGTGAATTTGAGGAAACGCAACGATCCTTCCTTTTTTAATGTACGTATTAAATCCATGAAGTTTTTAAGAAAACCAAAATTATCACTACAAATGAGGGGACGTTGCCCTCTGTTTTCTAAGGACACGATGCGACGATTCATGCTCTTGAAGAGTCAATGAAGAACTGAAAATGAAAGGAAAATTAAATAACTTTGTAATTCTAAACATCTATACTTCTATCATTTTCTAGGATATAGTTACTCCAAAGAACTATATTATTTAAAAATCAAATCAAATTGCCTCATGGGCGTTAGACACTGAGTCAAAAACCATTTAGTAAAAGAAGAAGTAGTTTTGTATATTAATTATGGTATCCATGCCTGAGGAAAGGGAATATTTTTGGAGATATCCTTTAAGAAGTATTATTTCTGAGTTCTACACGAGGCTGCACGCTGTTACTGAAGTCTTATTAAGGATGCACCTCAAGCGCCCATGAAACATACTTAAGTTATAAGAAATCGCGGTTCAATGAGTTCCTTGCCGTTAGAAATACAGACCTCACTGAATATTCCCCATAGCTGTAAATTTAAGAGTAAGTCCTGGAATGAACTAAAGCTTCTGTTACAGTTTATCAGAAATTCTAATCGATTCAGAGGTGGATAATGGAAATAAACCAGTCTAACGTAACACTGCATCAACGGTTTATGGTTGTCGTCTCACCAATAACCTCGCAATAACTGTATCGGACTTTTTTCCCCAGAAACACTTAAACATCTCTGCGAGGGACGCTTTTAGAAAACTGAAACCTTAAATTAAAGATTTATAAGGCTAAATGCATTTAAGGACTTATTTGTTATAGGTAGCAGCGCCATTCTTTTTGAGTGTCCCGCAAACCGAAGCGAGACACCGCCACTAAATTGCCAATTGCACTCCTCTCCAAGCACCCGCATTAGGGAATTTTATGTCTAAGCTGTCATACCTTAACTGATGGCGGCTCCGCATTTCGCATAGAGCTTTCAACCGCCGAAATTGCTCTATTTTTCTTATCTTTTCACCCCTCGCCCGCCCCAGTCGTGCTAACGCCCTCGCCCTCCTCGGTGATTTTCGGATCTTGTCCCTTATCTTCTGGCTCGTTTCTGGTTCGTTATCAGAACGCAACAACTTCCATTAGCCTCATTAGGGGTTGTTCGCTATGTTCCCCCCGTATGCTCCCCTCTCGCATCTATGATAGCGCGCTCGTTGCTACTGTGACGAACGCTTTCGGATGCGGTGGATCATCTTGAGTCTTGAAAATATCTTATTCTCGCTCGTGATAAGCGTTCGCTCCGAAATATGCTGATCAAAGCGCTCGCGCTCATGCCCGAATGAAAATTGACAAACTGCAATGTTTGTGAGTGGAGGAGTAAACGCGACTTCAAAGAATCATTATTGAAAAGAGCGGATCATTAACACAGTGCTCTCGTGCTAGGGGAAAACGCTGCATGCTCCTTCAGACATTGCCTAATTTCCTCCATAATTTATTAGTTGGGGTTATAGTTCCTTGTGTCCTCTCTTGCTCTGCTCATTTTGTGTTCTCCATTAGTTTGGGGTTTCTCATCTGTTTGACTTTTATTGTTCTATCCTGGCTTAATTTTATTAATGATTCATTTTCTCATTTAGTTCCTGTAGGAACTCCAGTGGTCTTAATTTCTTCTATGGTCTTAATGGAAACTATCCGTAATTAATTTTCAAGTAAATTTGAGAAGATTTCCCCCAAATTTTTAAAGAATTGTATTCGTAATCAGATCTGATTCTAACTTACATAAAAATATCAAGAGAAAATATCCGTAACACTCCTTGAAAATAAACATTTTATGGGTGGAACTTCGGCAACTTTAGAATGTTCATACTGCGTTTTCCCTCAACATGATGGCAAATACTCTCATGTTAAGATAAAAAACCGTATGAGCCGTTAGACGTTGCCAAACTTCCTTTGTTTGTCGTACTTCATTTTCAGAAAAATTTGTGAGTAATTATCGTCCGAATTTTCAGAGAAAATTCAAGTGTGTAGAAAGAAGACGTTTTCAATTATTGCAAAAATTCCGCAGAAGGAGGTATTGTATGATGTCCTAGAGTGTGTGTTATCGATAGTTTTAAAAAAAGGAATTTCAAAAAATTGTTTGGTCTTCCGCCAAGTCAAGGATACCATTTATATTTCAGATCAAAGGTCGGTTACCTTTGGACTAAAATAAAATATGAGCTGAAATTCTGAAACGCCGTAATTCTATAACTTCCTCCACTATCTTTGTAACTTTATCTTATCAATTTTGTTGCAGTGCCGATGGTAACTACGAAGTTCGTTACAAGTCTAATGTTCTGATTTATCCTCACGGAGAAGTTTTGTGGATTCCTCCTGCCATTTACCAGGTAACTTACTCCGATAGGTTTTAAACTTTCACTCGTATCCAGCACATGAAATGAATTCTGTCAACTTCCAATGTCAATATGAGTAGAAAGGAGAAACTTTGAGAAGATCGCACAGAGTGGGAATTGAGCAAAAGTTTCAGAAAGCTCTGGCGTGTCTTCAGAAAATTATCTTAATAATTTATAGCAAAATGATTTCCATAGCGTCTTTTCGTGGGTGATTAATAAATGTCGGGTTATATTTGAATTTTATCCATCGCAAAATGTCACGATTGAAATATTAATTTCGCATTTTCTTTTTAATGTTTCTGGATGGAATTTGATCCTAAGCAGCTTTTAAACTGAAGATTCATCTCTAGATAATAATATTGGTGCAAAGAAGTTTAATTCTGTATCAGTGGCGTGGCGTGCTTTGCGATTATCGATATTTCCCCATTCGAATCTACGGTAAAGAATCGATTGTTAAGGTGTTTTCTGCGAAACCCTTTTAATCGATCTTTTTCCGTAGTTTTAAATGGTATATTAATCGATTTATCGAAAAGCACTATCAATGAAACCATTTCCTTTCGTCGTTGTGCTAAGGAAGATTATGGTTGCGCCAAGGTAGCGTCTTTACGCCAAGAAATATTTGACTTTTGACAGTGAAATTTTATTTAGCAATACAATTGTTTTAGTCACTGGAAGGCTAAAACTAGAAACATTTTATAATTACATGTTAACTTTTCTTGTCAAAATTAAAAGTGCACCTAGCGAAATGAGTAGTTTCCTTGATGTAACGATCGTTTTCCTTGACGCAATGAGAAGTTGTTGAGGAAGAAAAGTTCTTTGCTACGGCAAGACCGATTTTCTCATTCATTTCCACCCGTTTCCAACTAAAGGATCGCTTTATTTTCAGCGTGTCGTCTGACTCTATCACTTTGTCTATCAATGTCAATAATCAGCAGGCTGATCGTTGAAATTGGTAGACAAATCGATAGACAAAGATGACACAAATGATATAAAGGGATCCAATTGATGGTAGCGGGTGGTTGCGATGGACAAAGGAGGTAGGTAATAGACTAACTAGCGCTCCCAATGCACCATTTCTCCATCTTCTTACATATTGAACCAATCGATATCAATATAATCTCACCTGTGTGATGTATCGAATACGATCTATAAAAACCATCTAGTGAACGTGCCGGTGGGGGAGGGGTGTATGAGACGCTTTTACTCGTGTTGGGCACATTTTTTGTGAAAGCCTTGTCAACACTAACAAAAGTTCACGGAACTTTCCGCGAAAGTTCAGTTCCGCAAACCCATCCCTGTTTGGACAAGGCCTTCCATTTATAACAAGCGAACGAAAAAATTATGAAAGAATAAACATAAATGTGGTTAATAATTTTAACTTCCGCCGCCGCGCCGACCGCACTGCGTTGGGCGCAATGCGTGAAGTATTCATGCAGTCTTGTAGGCGCTATGCGTTTCAAGCCGACTGCTGCTGACCGCCGTGTGTTGGACGCAATGCGTGAAGTATTCATGCAGTCTTGTAGGCGCTATGCGTTTCATGCCGATCGCCGCACCGAGGGCTTCTCCTTTTCATCTCATTCCTCGTCATCATTGTTCTCTGCGCCGCTCCGCTCCAGGTCAAATTGCGAGTGTGGTCTCTCTCTTAACTCGACTAATTAAAGGTGCTGTCTCTTGCATCACCGAAAGACGACAAAATCAGAAATTACCGTACAATTACTCTCAAAAATGAGAGATTTTGTCGCCTTTTCTTGTTGTAATTTATTTCCTGAATCCGATTTTTTTTTCTCTTTTTTTTTTGATACCTACATTCAAAAAGATTTGCCGCCCCCTACATTTTGCCGCCCCCTACATTTTGCCGCCATGGGCCGTTGCCCTCGTGGCCACCCCCTTATCAATCCGGCCCTGCTAAGAAGCGAATTTTCGTTGATGATCGGTCGAACCAAAATGGATGGATGAAGCGGTTTCGTATTTTGTTTTGACGCAATCATATTCGGAGTGGGACTCACCAGACAGATAGAAGGTGGAATTCTTGCAAACGTTGGGCCAAAATATAATCCTACAAAAAGTAGGATTTAGAAATGACCTGATAAAGATGATGGCATCCGACCAGCATCAATTCCGAAAGTCTAACCTCAAATGTTTACCAACCCGAATATGATCTCGCCGCCATTATCGCGGCATTTTGGCTCGACCGATCATCAACGTAAATACGCTTCGTGCGTCGCTTCTGGTCGGAGTAAATCCAACAACCATTATCTCGGAGAGCTGCCGTTCGCTTCCGTTATAAAACGTTCGAGTGTTTCATTAGCTATTTACCAGACTGCGTGGGCGGGAGCGGGCGCGAGACAAGAAGTCTGGCCCGCAGGAGGCGGCACTCAGCCGTCGCCGGGAATGAGCCGCGAGGGAGGCGGATTTTCGTCAAATCTTTGATGACATGCTTTGCATAGCACGCATTCCTGGGCCCTCGTCTTCTATGCAGGGACGCGGGAGAATGCGCCGCTGCCTCCGGGCGAGCAAGGAAAAATCCCAAGTGGAGAACGAGCGATACCGCCGCCGCCGCCGAGTCAGAGATTCCGCCCGGCGAAATCAAACGTCGAGCTTGACTCCGGCCTCCCGTAGTTTCCTTCGTTTGAGCTTCCGCGACACTGCGGAAAATCTACATTCGCTCCAACGGGAGCTCTGAGCACGGGGGAAAAATTAAAATCTATAAATCTGGACTGTTGAATGAAAATCCTGGTCAGTGAAAAAATATGCTCTGACCTCAAAACCGTCTGCGGGCTGACTGTTGAAATCGATAGGCAAAACGATAGAGAAATAGCTCTCCGAGATAATGATCGTTGGATTTAATCTAACCAGAAGCGACTTGCGGTGGGGTCGAGGCTTGCCATACTCCTTCAACATTGGGATAAAACTCAACAGACCTGCGGGCCGATTATTAAAACTGATGGACAAAGCCATAGACAAAGACGACAAGAGGGATTTGGAGGGATCCTACTGGTGCAAGCGGAGAGGTAGCATAAGGGACATAGTAGGTAGGTAATAGACTAACTAACGGCAACCCACCAAAGACCCGACAATCAGTCGATCGTTTCCCCTCTTAGTCTATGAGAACCGCCCATTTCAACCAATAGGATCGCTCCAGACCCCCTGTGTCTTCTTTGTCTATAGCTTTGTCTCTCAATTCCAATAATCAGCCCGCTGCGATCTGCGGGCTGATGGTTGAAATTGATAGACAAAGCGATCTCTGGCCTTTTTCGCCCAAGTTGATACCATGTTGTGTCCATGTTGACCAAAAATTGACACCAACGTTACCAACACGGACTTTCTTCATCATATAGCGTTGGCATCGCTCTAATAATATTCTTCATCACATTTCTCATTTCTATCCGTATCGACAATAGCACCAAACTTCAACATTGCTAACTAATAAATCAACGACGGTGAATTTATTTCTGTGTTCTCAGAGCTCATGCACCATAGACGTCACGTACTTCCCGTTCGATCAGCAGACATGTATCATGAAATTCGGATCATGGACATTCAACGGCGATCAGGTCTCCCTGGCCCTCTACAACAACAAGAACTTCGTGGACCTCTCGGACTACTGGAAGTCGGGGACGTGGGACATAATCGAGGTGCCGGCATACTTGAACACCTACCCGGGGGTGCCGACGGAGACAGACATCACGTTCTACATCATAATCCGCCGGAAGACACTGTTTTACACGGTCAATTTAATCCTGCCGACGGTCCTGATCTCCTTTCTATGTGTTCTCGTTTTTTACCTACCGGCCGAGGCCGGCGAAAAAGTTACTCTAGGCATTAGTATTTTACTGTCACTGGTTGTGTTTCTTTTGCTAGTCTCGAAAATCCTGCCCCCGACTTCGCTTGTTCTCCCCCTCATAGCCAAATACCTACTATTCACTTTCATCATGAACACGGTGAGTATATTGGTGACGGTGATCATCATCAACTGGAACTTCCGAGGGCCGCGCACCCACCGGATGCCGGTCTGGATCCGGTCCGTGTTCCTCTACTACCTGCCGATCATCCTGCTCATGAAGCGTCCGAAGAAGACGCGGCTTCGTTGGATGATGGAGATGCCGTCGATGACCAACGTCTCGTCGGTCCCTCCGCATCCTCACTACGGGTCACCCACAGAGCTTCCAAAAAACCTGGCCCAGGCCTCGAGCAAGTCGAAGACGGAGGTGATGGAGCTGTCCGACTTCCACCACCCCAACTGCAAGATCAACCGCAAGGCCAGCGTCGAGCGACGGGAGAGCGAGAGCTCCGATAGTCTCCTCCTCTCCCCGGAGGCCTCCAAAGCCACCGAGGCTGTCGAGTTCATCGTAGAGCATCTTCGAAACGAGGATCAATACATTCAGGTAACTCACCATTACATCGCATTTACCTGTTAAAATCTATACCGGGTGTCCATAAAGTAACTGAAAAGTGGGTATAATTTTTAAACAAAAAAAGATAGAAGGTCGCGGTTTGTGGCATTCTTCATCATCCAGAGGGGGAAATTTTTCGATGGGGGGTTTTTCTTGGTGGACCTCCCTGGGGGCCCCAAGGGGGGGCAACTTTCAAAATTCAAATAGCAACCCCCATTTTTTTTAGACATAGTTAAAAAGAACTTAAAAAGACAAGAAAAATGACGCAAATAAAATTAAAATCGGTTCACTCGTTCAAAAGTTACAGCCGGTCAAAATTTTAAATTGACCACTTTTCAAAAAATCACCGTTGAGCTCCCAACTACCGAAAAAACAAAAACAAACCTGGAATGAAAAGTTTGAAAAGTGCCCTTTAAGGCAAGGAAAACCAACTGACGTTGTCACAAGTTTGGATGGCATTGTTTCAAAATAAAATTTCGGAAAATTCAACATGGCGGCAAATTTGAGGAAACGCGAATAATGAAAATTCCAGAGACTGTTATCTTTCAAATACCCTCTAGTTTAAGGAAATCAATGGTATCAACTTTTTTTCCTTTATTTGGCCAAGTAAGAGCAATAATTTGCTGACTTGAAAGTTGGCAAGCGTGACCCCTACAATCGTTGGAGTATGCGACACCACATGCACAGGATTAAGTGTGCTGTCAAAAAATGAAGCCGATGTGAAAAAGCGCTCCTCCTTCGGGATGCTTTAGAAATGTTCAAGGTCCTCATTCTCAAAAAAGAAGAAGAGAAAAATTGAGCAATTTTTTTATTTTTATTATTTTTTAAAGTGGAAGTTCTTATACCTGATGCTCTGTTATTCCGTCAAATGTTCAAAGTGATCTTCATTTTGCTGCAAACAATAATAAATTTACAATAGTAATTGCCAACTAAATCAGAACGCAGTATGATCAAGAGAACTTAGCATACTGATTTCAGATTCGTAAACAGTATTACCGATCAGATATTGCATTAGATATTACCTAAAATATCGGTTCCTCAAATCGTGAGGTTGAGGCTGTCAATAAGATAATCTCAACTCAGATAATAATCAAGAGTAGAACGGCGTTTTCGGAATGGTAAGCGTAGCAGATATCCTTCTTGCCAACTCGGAGTGCCAGGAATTAGAGAATCACAATTATTCTTGCGTTTTCAATTTTCGGATAGAGAAATGTCAAAAATGTCAACCGCCCCTACCCCATCAGGATATACCATGTTTTTTTTGGCTCACCAAGTTTGTGGGTGAAAATTGCTTAATTTCTCTTTTCTTATTTTTTGAGGATGAGGACCTTGAACATTTCTAAAGCATCCCAAAGGAGGAGCACTTTTTCACATCGGCTTCATTTTTTGACAGCACACTTAATCCTGTGCATGTGATGTCGCATACTCCAACGATTGAAGGGGTCACGCTTGCCAACTTTCAAGTCAGCAAATTATTGCCCTTACTTGGCCAAATAAAGGAAAAAAAGTTGATACCATTGATTTCCTTAAACTAGAGGGTATTTGAAAGATAACGGTCTCTGGAATTTTCATTATTTGCGTTTCCTCAAATTTGCCGCCATGTTGAATTTTCCGAAATTTTATTTTGAAACAATGCCATCCAAACTTGTGACAACGTCAGTTGGTTTTCCTTGCCTTAAAGGGCACTTTTCAAACTTTTCATTCCAGGTTTGTTTTTGTTTTTTCGGTAATTGGGAGCTCAACGGTGATTTTTTGAAAAGTGGTCAATTTAAAATTTTGACCGGCTGTAACTTTTGAACGAGTGAACCGATTTTAATTTTATTTGCGTCATTTTTCTTGTCTTTTTAAGTTCTTTTTAACTATGTCTAAAAAAAATGGGGGTTGCTATTTGAATTTTGAAAGTTGCCCCCCCCTTGGGGCCCCCCAGGGAGGTCCACCAAGAAAAACCCCCCATCGAAAAATTTCCCCCTCTGGATGATGAAGAATGCCACAAACCGCGACCTTCTATCTTTTTTTGTTTAAAAATTATACCCACTTTTCAGTTACTTTACGGACACCCGGTATAGACTGGTTGCATGTCCAAATGGAGATGTTGCATGTGTGAGGGATTTGCGATTTGACCATTGATTCTTATGTAAAAGTTCGCGAGAAACACGCTGGTGTCGCTGGTTTTCTCTGAAATCATCTCCCAAGCTCAAAAAAAGCTCTCAAAGTGAGGCCAAAATGGAGGGGATATCCCACCCTACCCTGAGAGTCCACCTCTACATCAATACAAACCGATCTCCATGCAAAGATAGGGAGCAAATACATTGACAGGGCTGCCACTTCATTTGGGGACTCCAAAACTGAAAACACGGCAACCCTGCTAATGTATTTCCTCCCTATCTTTGCATGGAGAGTTTGTTTTGATGTAAAGGTGGACTCTCTGGGTAAGGCGGGATATCCCCTCCATTTTGGCCTCTTTTTGAGAGCTTTTTTTGCGTTTGGGAGTTAATTTCAGAGAAAACCAGTGGCATCATTGTGTTTCTCGCGAACTTTTACATAAGAAACATCAGTCAAATCGCAAATCCCTCACACATCTCCATTGTGGCATCTAGAGAGTCCCTCAGGTCTTGAATCATGGGTGGATCCAGCAATTTGGCAACATTGTTTTTCTCCATTTAAACCCATGGAGATGTATCGATTCTTGGAGGGGCCAGGTGCTCCAAGAAGAATCGATTATTTAATATTGACTTAAATGGAGGAAATCCGATGTTGCCAAATTCCTGGATCCGCCTCTGTCTTGAGTTAAACTTTTCAGGGGTATGCCTAGGATGGGGGTCCTTAATCGCCGAAGGAAGAGGTGCCCTCAAAGCTTCTAGATAATAATGGTCGGCCTCCTGTATGGTGTAGTGGTTGTATAGCTTGCTCTATAATCGGGAGGCTCTGGGTTCGATTCCCGGCCAGGTGACCCGAATTTGATGGTCTCGAACAACGGTTACCCGGGCTGACCTGGCTGGCTTGATTAGGGACGGTGGGGGGATGGGGCGCTACGGATAGTAAAGCGCAGGATTATCCCTCGTGGAATACTTGACGTGTGAAAAAAAAAGAAAAGAAAAAAAGCACGGGCAATTTTTGGAGAAGCCAAAAGGGCTCGCTCACTATATAAAAAGAAAAGTAGTCAGTGGTGTCTGGCCCCCGAGTAGTAAACAACATTAAAAGGGAACTCAAGAAGAGATATTCTGGTGTGTTAAGAGAGCTCCGAGGCCTCAAAAGAGAAAAAAAGGCCCTCAAGTTCTCAAAATAAAACCATTCAGGGGCGTAAACGGTAAGATGGGAACGTTCATGGATTTATATGCCTCCTCCATGAGTAGGTGGGCACATAAATTATTGTTAAAAGAGGGAAAACAAAAAAGAGAAAATGTGATTTTTTCTAGATTTTTTCCGATTCCGCTGTTATACCCCGGATTACGAAAAACGCGTATGATTTTAAAAGTCGACTCTTCAGAATTTTTGTAAGTTAGCGCCTGTGGCAAATTATGGTTAGAGAAACATTCTGCGGACAAAATCTATCATAGATCGGGTCCTCAGATTTCTACCAGATTCTTTCGACATTATTTTCATCACTCGTATGTCAAAAACACTGAAAAAAGCTCATAATCAAGAAAAATCTTATATTTCCCATATATTTTCGCGACAAGATATCAATAATAGTAAAATGGGGGGCATCAATATTTTTAAAAACTACATTTGTCACTAATAAAGTACGAGTATGTTCCTTCTACAGAATTTCCTTCAATCAAAATTGCAGTAAAGCTATTAATGTCTCATAATCTAAATTTATTCTTGCTTTTTAGCTACGAGTAGGCACCCTTGGAAAAAGTTGCAAAAATGTGCACATCATATTTGCCCTTTTAAAGCCTTTATACCTATGACACCGTCTAAGTTTCCCTCTTTGTAGGAGGCAAAAGTAGCTAAATCGGCATGATTGGAATGTAGCCCCTTGATACAACTATTCGTGTTCAGGGGTTGTACGTGTTGCGTCCTCGGAGCGTGAAGGCGTTTTGACTTTCCTCGCCCGCGCAGCAACGCGCGCTGTTTCATTTGATGACTGTTTGTTTTGTTCTAGATTCGAGAAGACTGGAAATACGTGGCAATGGTGATCGATCGTCTACAACTGTACATATTTTTCATCGTCACAACCGTAGGAACGGTGGGAATTCTGATGGACGCTCCTCACATCTTCGAATACGTAGATCAAGATAGAATAATTGAGATCTACCGTGGAAAGTAAAAATGCTCAATTTTAGTTTGTAGTTCGCTGTATTATACCATATTGTATTTTAATATTATACCGTACTTTGCCACACGTACAGTAACATACCGTACCGTACCGCATTGAGTTACGATGCGTGGTGAGGTACTGAGGTAAGCATATTGTGTCAGGGGTATACTGGATATAGAAGAAAGCTCTTCTATGTCATACCCCGCAAGCTCCATCGCGATACACTGTGTTACAGTAGCGTCACTTGGATGTTTCCCTCTTTTTTTATTAGATTTAAAGCTGTGCAAAAAAGTAAGGAAAACTCTGTCCTTTCTTATTTTTTTTTAGGGTAAATTGCGCTATTTTCCTGCTTTTTAGAACGTGAAATCTGGTCAGCTTTTCTGTAAAAGCATCCATTTTTACAGATTAAATGTGAGAGACTGTTGAGGTAGAAAATAAACCAATGAAGACAGATAGGTAGGCGGTTTACTTGAACTTGTCACGCCATGAATAATAAAATTGGACATGATATGCGCCTCAGAATGTCGGACATACTGTCCATGATGACTGTTTCAGAGTTACGAAAATCAAATAAAAAAACGCCGCCTAACACATTCTGCTCAAATGCACTCTAAGTGAGTGTTAGCATTGCCAGCACTACAACTTAAAAGCTATACTTTGTGTAGTTTTGAAATTTATATGCAATAGTAAACTGTTGACTTTGGTGCTAGGCCAAATTTACTGATGGATAAAGTATGAATCATTCGTTCGTCGTCATCTGTCTCCAGTGTCAGGAACTAAGTTAACTTTCGTGGAGAGACTTTGCCCTGCAAATTGAATTTATTAGGAATAGTTCCATGGCAAGATTGTGTGGTGGATTTCGACAATCGAGAACTAAGTAAAGCAGTAAGCGGTAATAAGTAAAAACCGAGGAGAAAAAATCGCGGAAACAAGGCTAGAAATGGACATAGAAATAAATGCAGGACGTTTCGATGTCTTACGACATCACTATCAACTGCTGAAAGAAAAATAAATTAAAACTAAAAATAATGAAGTATAAATAACCTGGCGATTGCTACTTTTTTAACCCAGCATTTGAGTCTCCCAATAATAAAATCTAGCTATGTGTTTACATATTTAATACGTGGTGATGATAATGATTGGATTGCAAGTATCTAGTATTCCCAAATAATATAGTGATATTGTGATGATATAGTGTTATATTGAGAACTATATTTCCAAAATCTAAGATGAACGTGACTGTATCACAGTGTGCATTATCGCATTGTATTTATTGCATTGTACTTAATTGTATTGTATTGTGTTGCATTGCATTGATTTGTATCAAGAACAAGTTAGTCACTCCTGTTGTACAACATTTTTCCAGTAAGTATTTGAGATGCCAAATTAAATATTTTATAAGAGATGGGAATTATGAGACAAACATTGTACTGTTTTGTAATCACAAAAACAGTGAGAGGTTTCGCAAGTACAAGGTCAATTTTTGATGCCTCTCTCTTCCCTTACCTCATTACAATGGAGACGTTTTGCTCATTTAAATTATGTTTTTTATATGTATTATATAGGCCCTATCCTTTTTTAATGTACTTTTTTAAAATAGTTACTATCATTCGTCGCACGATTTGTATTTATCCCCAACAAAATTTACATAAAAATAACTTCTTAAAAAGAAAATATGAAGGAACGAAGTATTCGTGATATGATCAATGTAATGAGGTATTAATAAAACAGGAAAGTGGAACATTGTTCATTTACTGATTAGTTTATGCGAATAATTAATGTCAGAAAGTATATTAAGAATAAAAGAAATTATTAAATAATAAGCCTGCATCCATTTTCAATTCCGAACATAACCCAGAACAAGTGTACTTAATAATTCATTTTTTTGAAAGATACCTGGTACGTGCTTCGATCATATTTTGCATGCCTCTGACATACCAGGAGGGCGACCAAGACTCAGGTCAGGTAGACTTAAACTCTAAAAGTTGGGGTGAGTTCTGTGCTACGCTACACATTTACAGGAAAATACGGTGTAATACACGCTTGGTTGGTCCACGGTATTGACCATATAATTTAAGAATATCAATTCAAATGCATTGAAATATATTATTAGGATAATGCAACTTCTTCCCTCGACACCATGATGCATACTTCAAGTTTCATGTCACTGAGGTTAAAAAAGTGGCACTTTAACTCTTGATTTCTTCATTGATCAATGACTATCATACTTTTAAAAGAGGACATTTTTTATTCTTTAATATGAGAAAATTTCAGTGCATTTGATCTGCTCTGTTAAAAATTTACATAGGGCTTCAATCAATACTTTGTCGATTGACCATTTTTGCTGAAGTTCCTACAGCGAAAATATCGTTGACATGTAGGAAAAATGTGTTTTTGCTTAAGGATCCGGCATCAATACGGAAAAATGTTATAGAAACGTCTTTTTAAATCGAAATTTGTACACGGTTTTTTTAACCATCCTTGAAACTAAATTTAAAGGCACACTTAACTCCAAAAAATGACATAAAATTATATATGTAACGTAAATTTTTGACCACGTTGACTTGGATCCTATTTCGGTATCCGTAAATGACATAATCACAGTTTTCAAAAGTGCCATACAGTGAATAGGTATTCAGTTCTCAATTAAAGTGAAGTAGATCCCATGTAGGGGCAAATTTTGAGTCACGCTGCAAAGATTTTAGACAAAACTCGTATCACGAGGACTTTTAAAGAATGGGATCCAGGAAAAGGAAGTAAAAATAGGTAAATGGTTTAATCGTTTATTTTCAGTCTTTTTTCAATAACAGAAGATACATACTAGTACAATTATTCATTAAGAGGGCGTGACCCATCACTTCATTACTCCACATACCTACGTGTGCGGTGTAAAATCTGAAGGAGTAAGTTTAATAACATGTAACATCAAGGGCAAAAATCTGCTCTAAACTCCTGAAATGGTACCCTCACACAGAAAGTTCAAAGCACACAAATATATTATTATAAAAAAATGACAATGGGGCTTATGCTTTTGGTTATCAATTTAAACATATTAATCACCATCACACCGGTAATTTTAAGAAGATCCTGTATTGGTGGATGTATGATGCATGTAGGAGTATAGTTTCCATCAAAGTTTCTAAAAAAATGTACACATTAAGATGGATATAATTCCCTACCTACTTACATTTTCATAAAATGCTACATTTTTATTCTTTAAAAAGTAAAAGCTCGACGGCCTTTATGCTGCATAAGAATTAGATTCAAGTTACACTTTAGTACATTGAGCCTTTATCCTCTAACAATAAGAAATATATGTAAACGCTCCCATCAGGTGTTTCCACGAGTTCTTTGTGTCTAATCAACCATACAGCCGCAAGGCCGTACAACAAAGTTGGTATGCCTGTAAAAATTAAAAGTGTAGCAATAATTTAATAAAAAAAATGCTGCAGCTTTGATAAGTTTTACAACGGTAGGCGAGGGAGTCATAATTTAAGAGTCTTTACATGTTGGTGCGTCAAATTAAAATCCATCTGGTAATCCAGGATTGCGCGAAAAGGGCACAAGGATTGCGCGAAAAGAAACCTTAACATCTGCTACGGGAAAGCGCGAATTTAAAATTAAGTTGATGTGAGGTAAACATTTGGCAAAACAGGAACCAGTTAGAAAATAAACGCATTTTTATGTTAACGCCAGTTTAGGTTAGTTCGTTGACAAGTCATCGATGTCTTATACCTTCTGATGATAAATGAAGAGAGAAAATCGAATAATGGCCGTGGGTATAAAGAACTTTCCTAACTTGTCTCGGAAAAATATTTAATTAGGAGAAACCACGCAACGTTGGAATACTCATACGGCGTCGAAACACAAAATGGACCTTTAGAGCTCTATCATTCGATGCCACGATTATTCGAACTCTCGTTAGCGAACTCGCGCCAAACACAGTGCGGCGGCGATAAACGTATGTTAGCGCCTGCAAGACTTTGGGAACACTTCACGCATTGCGCAAAACAGCACGGTCGGAACAGCGCCTACAAGACTTTATGGATACTTCTCGCATTGCGCCAAACGTAGCGCAGTCACTCTGTTGGCGTGAAACGCATATTAGCGACTACAAGACTGCGAGAATGCTGTAGGCCTGCGTGTCATCATTTGGCTTTCTACCCCAGTTTTTACCATAATCAAAGGAAAAATATATATCCTCATTGTAACATTTCAGTAACTTGGATGATATTTAATTTTTTTTTTTTTTTTGTTACATTAATTGAAAATAGAACGAACGAAAATATCGCAACGAAATTTTCGACACATTTATTGTGTGCAGCTTTTTCAAAACATTTATTAAAACTAAAACATAAAAGTGGTGCATATTGTTGCAATCAGATATAAATATACGCTTTCTTTCGGGTACATTCGTCGGGGTTTGAATCCATTTATCTCTTAAAAAACTTGGAAATGGTTGTTCTATGATTTTTACGTGTAATTCTTGTCAGTGCTTGGCGGCTGCGTGTAGTGGTCACAGGCCCCTAGTTCACTTTATAAATATCTATGAAAGCTTTCTGGGTCAATCGTGCTACGAGGGCTATCCATCCCAGAGAGACATGCCCTTAAATGAAGAGGGAATGACCAGTCTTCCGCGATGTAGTTATCTACCACAAACTACCAAAGTTGCCGATTAACGCTGCCTCGTTGAATATTGCATATTCGTGCAAACAAGTGAGTTTTCATTACCAGAATTTACGCGTAATCCTACGAATTTCCAAAAAGGTAAAAAAATGGGGGCATTTGCGCAATCCTATCGCAGCCAATGTATACACTGAAAAAAAAATCTCGGTGTATTTACTAAGAAAAGGGTAAAATTACCAAGAATTCAGGGTTCTATTTGATCCCAGTTTTTTCTTGGTAAAATTACTATTCATGGAATTGGTAATTTTACCGAGAATCTCGGTAAAATTATTGAACTTTCTCGGTAATTTTACTGGACCTCGGTAAAAACGCCAATATTTTTTATCGACTGTTGTAAAATTACCGAGATAAAATGGCAAAGTTACCGGGAATTGATTACCAATAAAAGTGGTATTCTTACCTGAAAAAACAGTAAAAATACCGGTTTTTAGGTAAACTTACCAGTCTGTCTTGGTAAAATTACCAATAATTGGTAAAAAAAGTGAGATGGTAAAGGTACCAACGGACCTTGGTAAAAACGCCGATAATTTTTTTTCAGTGTATCCCTCGTCCCACAAAATTAAAGCTGATGTTATTAGTTTAACACCTATTCAAGGGAAGTGCCGATTAGATGCCTGTGGTTAAAACTTCGAAAAAAAAGGTCATAAAGATAAAAAATGGAAAAAGAAAAAATGGAAGGAAGATAAAGACTTTCTGGGTTGAGAGGATGCTGAATAACTTCAAAGTAATTCAGCTCACCGCGGGGTTAAAATAGCTTCATGTTGTGTCCAAACCCAACTTCGTATTTTCCTCCATCGTTTTACTCTAAGTGCATTATTCAAATGCCGAGCTCGTCTTTTAAAAAGCATCTCAGTTTGTTGCTATCGCTTTACAAATCTGTGCGATAGGAGGATCCAAATGTTAACCGTAATAGACGTCATGCTCGAGGGAAAGACTAGCTGCACTCGTGCCCGCCGTGGAGTAAAAATGGTTGTATGTTGGGTTCGAACCCGACTTCGATTATTCCTCCATTGTTTTACGCTCCACGCATTTTTCAAATGCATACTTAATATTTGACAAAATGAATTCTAAACTGAAAATTGTATTCCTTAAATTAATATGTTGATTGAAAAAAATACTGGGATAATACTTATTCCGCTTCACTTAAATATGACGAGAGCCTAAACTATAAGTTCCTTATCAGAAAATGTAGTCGAATAATTGTTCTCTCCTCTTACCCTCTCCTCATTATCCTCTCCTCATAATCATGCCATGTGATTTCAATTTTTTGTCGAATTGCATTTCTTCAAACTTTCTCGAAAATTCACATGAGGTTGGTAGTGACACATCTGCGAAGGTTGGGCTGCAGAGCGGCCACGGGGCGGACCCTCGAATAGATCATAAAAAATTAATCACTGAGCTTTTGCTTACAGCAAGCATATGTGTCCAATTTTTTTCGGAAAAACGCTTTGTTTATAAAAAAAAAAAAAAAAAAAACAGAATTGGAAAATTTTTTTAAGTAACCGATTAGATTGAAAAAAATGAATCATTCTTGTTGCATTCGCTCATCTCACTGAGAAAAGTGACTTAATATTAGCAGAAATATTCTTGAATTCGCCGCCAAGGAAAAAATGTCTTTAAAATCAAAATGGAAAAAAAAAAAAAAAAAAAAAAAAAAAAAGATGCGCACATTGCAAGGAAATTTTTTATATAAAGAAGGTTTCTGCTTGACTCCCAAGAAATTTTATTCTTGTCTCAGCTGAGCAGATTTTCTCGGCGGCAAATTCAAGTTGATTTTTTCGTTCGATCCAGCGTGACTGCATATGGAAGCATTTTAAGAGCAGTCCAAGGTGAATAACCCTCCTTGATGCGCTGTGGAGCGGCGCGCGGCGCAGCGCGGCGCGGACGCGGCTGCCGACGCCGAGACGCATGCCTGAAGAGCAGCGCCACAATGGACGCTAGCGCTAGCTGCGGCCAGAGTACAAAACAAACACTGAAAAGCAGGTCATATTATCATTTCATACATTTTGTCTCTGCATACATTGGATCAAAACAAAGATCCTGAAACTGAAAACTGACGCACCGACGCAGCGATTTTTTCATTTCTTTATGAAGGTAATATTTAGGAAGAAGAAAATCTTTCAAAAAGCACGGAAATTACAGAGTCAATCTCGCGGTATTGGACATGATCCTTAAAATTATGTGAGTGTTATTTATTATGAGGGATGTAGTTTCAATTGCAAACTTACCTAAATTTACTGCTTTAATAACTCGATACAAGTTGTCCTCGGTTGATAAGTCTTGATAAGGTCTTTTGGTACAATGATACTTGATGTAAGGATAGCAGCCGGTTCTCAAAATATGGTAATTACTTTCATTCACTGGCCAGTTAAAATGTGAGCGGCCAAACTGGTCATCCTCAACACTACTATATTTAACGAAATACGATGTCCACGGAGGTTCTCCACATTGTTTAAGGTAGCATGTTAGAACTGCAGAAGCCTTTGGCCTACATAATTTTTTGAACATGACAAACACACAATCATATCCTCGGACGGGAAAATGATAACACTCAAATTTTTGTTAGTGATAACAAGCATCAGTTGAGGTTAGGTAGGAAAGATTGGCAGTGTTGCCTCTAGGGTCAACTTCAATATTATCAGTGGATTCCCGCGCGACGCGCCGGGCGGTAAAACACTTTGCCCTGATTGGTCCGGACTTTTTTCATCGCGAGCGCGCATAGATTTAAAATCGTGCTCATACAGTAGCTGTGCGGTCCGTTGCCCCAATTTTTTCTGGCTATAAAAATGTAAATTTATTCTCCATCTTTTTCATCTATTTATTTAGGAACTCTTTTGTTGGATTATTTTTGTCATGCTCCCTCGCTTTCTATGGGATGGACAGTGAAAATAAAAAAAAAAAATAAATAAAATACAAAAAAGTCTGTTCCACTGACGTACATGACTCAAAAATGAACCGAATTTAAACATATTATGTCTATCTAGCGCCAAGCATTTATCAATTGTGAAACTCCCAAACCACGTTTCTATATAGGTCGCGGTGCCTTAAAATCTCCGCTCCTATTTTATTTTTGACGGAGAATAAATTAACATCATTCATTGAAGTTTTCTCACAATTTTCTTCGCACAAAGAGGAAAAATGAAGGCAGTTTTTAAAGATTTTTGTTGAGTTGTTCTCCGTATAAAAATTTCATAAAGTATGCCACGAGTCTCTAACTTCACAAACCGAGTTATGTAGTTTTGGAGTTCCACTGTCGATAAAATGTGAGCATGCCTAAAACCTAATTTGGGATCAGATCGAGAGCTTTTGAGGAGGAAAAGTTTTTCAGAGGGGTAGACAAATTGTCAGTTTGCTTTTTAGCCAGTATGTAAAAAGCTTGGGATTAAGGATTAGTCGCCAAGACAAGGGAGCATTATACTCAGTTTTTCAGAACTGTGTGACTGTCGAAATATAAGTATGAACAAAAAAAGTAAAAAATATCACATTCAAATTTTAAAATTGGCCAAAAAAAAAAAAACCATGCATGCATGCATGCATCTTTGAAATGCATTATGTATCCATTTTTGTCAGGTGCATTCTTTTAATTAATCGACGTAAAGATAAAGTAAGGAAGTATGCACGCTGAAATAAATTAAAATGAGGTGTTTCTCATAAGAAAATCTCTAGGAACCTTTGAGATATGACACTGATGGTGTTTGATGCTCATTTTCAAAGAATTAAAGACATTTATTTTCAAAATCTACAATCCTTCAAAGTGAGGTCACCATGTGATCTCGCAGAATGATGTGTCCTTTCACCCAGATGGTGTTTGATGCAACTTTCAAAGAATTTAAGGCACTTTTTCAAAATTTACAGTCGTTTGAAAACAGCCCACTATGTGAATTGGCTGTACATCATGTTTTCCCCTTAACCCTCCTTAAATTTTTGCATACGCCAAAATCACTTAACCCGCAAAAGGAGACTATAAAGATACAGCCCTCCATGCTTTTGTATGAAATTGAATTTATAAATTTTGAGATACGGCTGCACACAGAAATGAACGAAATTTTAGATAAGGAACAATTATTTTCACTCATCCACAAAAGCAACTGCTACCTACATCGGGAATCAAGGGCATAATACTTGTTTTTAATATGACTCAAGAATAGTAATTCCTTATTGCAAAACATAGCCAAATAGGGTACGCCGAACGGACGGACACATAGTTTTTTTCAAATATGGTTCTTTTGATTCCAGGCCCCTCAAAACGCCTGGAAAAGATGACGATTGAACTGTTTTTTTTTTTTTTTTTTTTTTTTTTTTTTTTTTTTTATGACGAGACTTCCTCTCTCCGCAAGGAGAGCGCGCAAGAAGGTAAGAAAGATGTTACGTACAGCTGTTACTAGCCAAATTTTATTTTTAAAAGTATGTTTGACGATAATTTTTATTTTACGAAAGAACAATTTTAGAAGGAACAAACTATTGATTTCAGTAAAAATGTCATTAATGATGCGCTCGATCGCACACTTTAATTTTGCAACTCAGACCGGGGACGGCATATGTGCGTGGTTCACTCTTAGTAGTCATTGTCTTCGTCCATGAACTCGATGAGGTCATCGTAGTACATTTCATGAGGATCGTACTTCAGGAAAAAGTCATCCACGTCTCTCGGCCTTGTCTGGAACATGTGCTTCATAACTGTGCGCACTATCCTCCTCATCGTAGGATTACAGTTTCTACACTGTGTTCTCATTATTTCTGGTATAATTCCTGAAACAGTTTCAAATTTTAATTCACTCGACTTCATGAAATATTTATTATTATAATCAGAAATAAAATATGATACGGTTTCATACCAACGACTCATACAGTGAAACTAATTTTTGAACAAGAATCAGCCTATTAAATTAAATTTTTAAGAAAAATCACTTTCACGTTGTGTATTTCTTTTTTACCGGTCGAACACGTTTCGGTCTCATCGCGAGACCATCATCAACGACAGTCGTTGATGATGGTCTCGCGATGAGACCGAAACGCGTCCGATCGGTATAAAAGAAATAAACAACGTGGAAGTGAGTTTTCTTAAAAATTTAAACTATTAAATTCTTGTGCGAACCCGAACATCAACGTTATAAGAATCAGGCTCTAACGCGCATTTGGATGATGCCTGATTTATTTTTATACTTGTGTGCAGCAAGGGTGTGTTTACACACCCGCACAAGAGGAATATTCAATTTTTGCTATTTGCTGACTCTGTGAGTATTCATGGTTCTTACTAACGCGGAGCCCAGAGCGAACAAAATATGATCGCGAATAAAACGCCTTCAACTCGGCAGAATACTTCCAGCAATGTCACCTTCAACCAAGCGAATTTTCCTCCCAATAAGAATAGAACGTGCTCATTTTTAGAGTGTCGGAAACGACTTAAGATGCTGGCAAAAGGGTAAGAGGAGGCAGAGTATTATTTGGTCATAAATTGGCAATGAATCATTTTTATTTTAGTTTCTAAAGGATAAAATTTCTTACTCTTTAGAGTTTTGTGAACCATCATAATTTAATATTTAAAGTTTGAAAATAATTGATGGGGATGGGCTATGTATATTAATATGGCTTTTCAGTGGTAACATTTATAGATATAGAATAGATGAGACTACAAAAATATCATCATTTTCTTCTCCAAACCTGTCAATCATCATTTATTTTTTAAGGAAGAAAAGTAATTATCCTTCCAGAAGTACGTATGTTTTTTGCGACCTTTAAATGGGCATTGAAATCACTACGCATCGCTTTAAATGCCAAAAACCTCACCAAAAAATTAGAGGATTAGTCCTGACTTAGTTTGAAATCACTGGAAATTTAACCTTAGGTGACTGAGCGACTACAAATAAAATTAATACTGCAAATAGATTCTGCGATTTGAAAAATTTTCTCGGCGAGAAATATGATGGAAAAGCCCTTGATAATTTTAACAATAACAAACAAAATAATTCTAGTAAAATATCAGGAAATCAAATAAATGCCACAATATTATCTAGCCTCTTATGCATTGAGGACCCGCTGGTTATCAAAAGCCTCCACACCTTCGATTGAGTGGTTTGATACTTAAAATGCTAATGATGGAATCATAGAAATAAAAATTCCTGCAGCTTTGATCAACTTATATACTAAAAATAGTCTCCTTAATTGAATTAGTCCAATCCAAGAGGCCAGGATATCCATTTACAGGTTGAATCGAGACAAGATATCATTATTCATCGCCTCATAATGCGTCCAGTCGTATTTCAAATATATAAGCTTGTCGATAAGCAAGTCTTCACCATACGTGTAACTTGTTCAACCTCTTTTGACCCCACAAATTTCAAAGAATTGATGGACCGACGTCATTTGATCATCGTTCCAAGTGCAAGCAGCGAATAAAAATTATAATCTAAATGAGAAAAAAAAACCTCCACAGCCTCGAGAATCGATCACTGAATCGATCAGATCCGTTGAATCACATACGTGACCTTCCTGTTTTCTTGCAATTTATTACTCTCTCCTTCCCTAATTCTACTTTTTTGCGAGTTTCGTGTTCACTTTTTTTGTTTTTGTCTCTGAGCTCCTATTGTTTATTTACTCATTATGCTGACAAATGTGATCGGAACTTATTTTTTTTACCCTATGTTACTTCAATTGTCGTTACACATCCGCAGATCCATGACCTCAAGCCGTCGGAAGCTTTTAGGTGACCAATACATCACTCTTAATTGTTTAAGGTTCATTGCATTACTTTATTTTTTAGTCTTTATAATACTCTTAGTCGCGCAATAAAGGTTAAGTTCAACCGTTAATGGCAAAAAAATTCAAATTTTCAGTGTTCATGCCTGCTCTTGTAGGTCACCAGTGCTTCATAAAAGTGACAAATTCTTGCTAAATTTTCAACGAGTGGTGTGAATTTTCCAATACAAGCTGCATACGGAGTATGATAGGTGTATCGTCTTGTGGTTACAAATCTGTTGTTTACAATATTTCACTCGCTGAACTCGCTCAGTGAGCCCTTCTCGATGTCTCACTAATAGCCAACAAACCACACTAACCACAATCCATCAAATATGCTGTCTCGCCTAAGAACGCATTGTACACCAATATTGAATATTATTTCTTTTATGAGGCTTCCCCTCAATTCATGTAGGAAAATGAGGAAATCTTAAAGAGAAATTTGAATAAGTCAGAGCTAAAAAAAGTTGTAAGCAAGAAACAAAATGCAGTTTTTGTACTCTTTATTTTATCCGATAAGGTTTGACGTAGTTCTATCGTAGTAAAAAGTGAATCATGAAACCAATGCGATATCACTTCATATTAAAAATATCATGAGCTTCGGCTAAGGGATTCCGTTCAATATGGGATATAAATGGCTGATTCTGAAGCCCATAAAGTTTTCGGAGTTATACCAGATTGTAACAAATACTAACTAAACGAATACCCGACAAAGTAACTAATAACTAAATTTTTGGTATTTAGACTGAATGATTTTATTTTCTTTTATTTAAAATTGAAGTTAAGTGAAATCTAAAGACAAAGAATTGAAAATTTGGAACAAATCGCCAAAACTTGAGACTATTTCTGTTTTCTGTTTTCTGTTTTCTTTTTTCTTCTTGTGAGAAGTTACCAAAACCCCTGTTGGTCATGACGCGAGAGTGCAAGATTTTTCAACGGAGGTAGAACTTAGATTCAACCAAAATTAATGAAATCAAAATGAGAGCATAAAAAAGATCACAAATGTACCTCACGTCAAAAAGTGTCCAAAACTGGGAAAAAAAAAAAAAAAAAAAAAAAAAAAAAAAAAAAAAAAATCCGGAAAGAAAAACTGAATCTAGCTGGGATTTGTTTGAATGGCATGTTTCTGGTGCGCAATTTTTTTTTCTTATAAGAGACCCTCAGCTATCTAGTTAAGTAATTAAACTTTTTCGTCTTTTAATGGTGCGATGGGAACGTTTTAGAGCTCTGGAATCAGGCACTTTTAAATACAAACCAATGTTGCGCTTACCTTTGAGTGTAATACAAAATACTTTCAAGGAAAAAAAATCACGATGCATGCATGCACCGTAAAACACATTTTTCCGCATTAAAACAAGATTTTCATTTTTTCCAAGTTGGACAGCCTTCGGACCAAGTCATTAACTTAAGGTTTGTACATAACTTTCATATCGTGGAAATTGAAAATTGAACTTCGATTAAATCAGAGAAAATCTCAACTTACTTTTGACCATCTTCCCCTCGTTAGTGCAAGGACCTTCATCCATGAAGCACTTGAAGTAACTTGACACAAGTCGGTCGTTTTTTAAAATTGGAGTAATATCAAAATGCTCCAAGGCCGGTGATGAACAAAGGGTCTCGAGCCTATATTCATCATCACTAATGGCGGAAAATACAAAACTTAACTGCCCGAGGATAACTAAAAAAACTGTAGGATTCATTTTAAATTAAGAAATACACAGCATTTCACGATTAAAATTGGGGTCGGAAATTTGAATAGTCAGTATTCCACTCGGACGGAACTAAAAAGATCGCATCAAGACGCCCAAACGTTGAGATTCTTGACAATCTTTGCTTTGCTTTGAGGTACAGAAGATGCAGCACTTATTGACGTCATCATTTTCTCTTGGTTTTGAATTTTTGGGGAAAAACTATGCTTGACCTTCTCCAAACGTAGACATAAATGTAAATATTTACTCTTAGCAGAGGATATTCGCAGCCGGAGAGCTAATGTTTTGCGTTGAAGAATTCGCCGTATCAGAGCTCATAGTATTTCGATCGTCCGCGCGCGTGAGTACGATAAATCGTTATTTGATGAAAGAATTCTCCGAGAGCGTTATTGTAGCAGTATTTAGGCCCATCACCCGCAATTAAGTTAGTTTGTTAGTTAATTTACCACTATTAAAAAACTTACACATATAATACATATAACTAAGCTATTTACGTCGGAGACTATGCAGGAATTCGCCTAAATTTTTTAAATTTACTTGCTTAAAGAGCTTTGAAATGTCGGTATTCAAAACGAATACATAGAAATATCATTTATATACGAGACATGCACATTGCACCCCTTTATCAGATACTATCGACCATATTTTGCTTTTTTGCTCAAAATCCTATGCCACACGCATCAAAATTCAAAAATTCCTCCCTCAAAACATCCATTCTTTAAGCTCAGATGGTCCAATTGTGGTCACTGAAATTCTAAAATTCTTTAAGCAATTAAATTCAAACATTTAAGATTTCCTGGTCCCCGACGTAAATAGCCTGGTTGCTGATCGTCGTAAATTAACTAACCAAACCCTTTATCAGGAAGAATTATGTTCATTAAATTAAAAAAATAAAAAAAAAAAAAAAAAAAAAAAAAAAAAAATTGAGAAAGAGAATAGAAAAGAAGGAGCAGGGTTTTTACAATTTTTTAACAAAATCAACGAGTCAAGGGACTGTTCTAGTATTACGTTACTCACTTAGGGTGGAGGGGGATTTGACCCAGCGTTACAATGCGATAGAAGGGGAGGAGGGGGGCCAAGCCCAACGTTACCTACGTAACAAATACGGGGGGGGGGG